ACAGACGTAAAAGAGACAGACAGACACAAAGGTAGGAAAAGATGAGTGCTGTGGAAGGAGTCGAATATGAAATGCGGTGAAGTCTTGATAGTTTGAAGTCAGAAGTCAACTGCCGATTAATAGACTTTTTTGCCGCATAAGTATACGTTGCCCAGGGTGTACCACGTGGAGGTAAGTCTATCGTGCACCCCGTTCCGTCAAATATAGACGATAAATATGCCCAGCCTATTTTATAGGTAACTACAACGTTTTCCTTTCAACGTGTTCACTAAATAATTCCTATTCCATAACTTGAAAATAGAGAATGACTATTGATTTTTTGGGGGTCTTAATATGTAGCACTAAATGCATTCTAGTAAAATTTCCTGGATGTGAAGCCTATTTCTTAATTTGTCTTATTTTTGCTAATAACACAGCTAATAATCTCGATAACTTCAAGTCGAGCAACACAATTTCATGAGTAATTAGATGTCTTAAAATTTGTTTGTGAAAGTGGTAAAAGTATGATCAAAATATTCGTTTATTAATATCAGTACCTACTGAAATTGTTCTCTAACCTCCAATCAAAATAAACTTCACAAATACCTCACATCCGGAGGGTTAAAAAAGCGGATTCCCCAAAAGAGCCTTAATTTTGAACACGTATTATCTTTCATCAAATGCGATGCATTTAAATGCGGTTGTCAACTGATCATTTACAGAAATTGATTTTTCACTTCCTGTTTAATTGAGTTAGGCTAGGACAAATGACCACTGACTTTTAATACGGTAAAATGTATTGATTTTGAAATATATTACTACCAGAAGATAATCAATTTAGATGTCTTCAATTCAAAAAATGGTTTTAATGGGATCTTTTATAATATGTGTTCTTAGCTTTTCTTTCGCAAGAAAATAAATCTTCTCTCTTTTTCTCTTAGCTCAAATACTGTGTGAGATTCTTACAGCCAGCAATAAAACGTGCGCGCTCATTCATTAGAAAATGTGTTATTTGATGGTGTGGTGTTAAACCTAATCTACAGGTATCTTTCATTATATATACATATACGCACGAATCCTTGTAGTGGTTTCGAATAATTAAATTACATTCTCTCTCGGTTAAAAAAAAAATTGCAAAAAATTCTCATATGTAGCAAATCGAATATTCCAAATTAACGGGACAATTAATGTAGATTTACCCTCTATCAATTAATTTCATAAATCCGATCATTAAAAGTTTGTTGTTAAAAGGAGATATGTGGAAATGCAGAGGAATTTGGTTTGATAAAAATTAGTGAAATAGCATTTTGTTCTTGATAATTCATTTCAAACGCTTTAAATTAAGGAAATCGTTCCATTTTGATACAGCTAATTTTTTTTGGAAATGGTATTAAGCTTTTAAATTATTAAAAATGTAAGATATCAACTGGGACATCGTAGATTGATTTTCCTCCATAAACCGTTTCTCAATTCAAACCATTTCTCCAACATGATTAAATCAATCATTCATAAACAATAATTCATTTCAGTGCTACATTTCTAAATGAGGATTGCCCAGTAAAATTTACTCTAAGTGAGCTCCATGTATCTTGCACAAATTCGAGTGAGTTTGTGTTATCTAGAAATAGTACAAAGCCCCTGTAGATAAATCATCTCTTCTGATAACTGGCCAGTAGAATAGAAAGTATCTTAAATCGAGAAGAACAAGATTGCAGTTAGAACTACACATAATACAGATTCCAATAAGGATTTGTCCAAATTTTCTCTTTCGTCATCCTATCTCAAGCCATGGATTTCTCTTGCCAAATCTGACCTTCTAAAAATGGACAAAAATTGATAAAGCTTTTTTTAAGTGAACAAAAGTCAGCCTTTGCGGTTTTCAAATAATTTGGGTCATGAATGTGACCCCCCCCCACAGAGGAGTTTTCCCTATATGAGGGACGCTAAAGTGATCAAATCGAATACATTCTTTGCAGTGTTTACTCAATTTTTTTCCAGTAGCGTGCCATACTGTACTCACATGTTGGGCACTCAAATCTCTTCAACAGAATTGTTCGACGTTATTATTCACCTCTCACTTTTCATAACATAACTTTAATTAATTATCTTTTTAAAAATATAGCTTTTTGAGGACTACAGATCATTTTTTTTGATCTAAACATAATTGAACTCGAACGGTGTTTGCTAATGCCATCTTTGTGATTTGGTTCAAGGTCAGAGCTCAAACCAATCATTGCGATTGAATGATATGATGCCTCGTGGGGGTGGTGTTGGCATGCTTCCCAAATCCAACGTCTTCTCAAGCATCTCCGCTCCTCCTCAGTCGTCTTCAAGCCACCCACCTCCATCACATCATCAGCCTCAACAAACTCCTCCAATGAAGACTTGTCAAGCCTGTCAGCAGCTCATTCATCGCAATGCCCCAATTTGCCCACTCTGTAAAACTAAGAGTCGCTCGAGGCATCCTAAGCGACCAGCTAAGGGTCGAAACAATCCTCCTCTCAGCGTCAGCTCCGGCCTAACCACTTCCCCGAACACTTCCACAGGTCAAACACCAACTGGAACTGGAGCCTCCAATTCTGGCGCTCCCTCGGAGCATATCTAGAGGGCGGACGACTCTTTCGATTTTCATTTACTACAAAACATATCTCACACCTCTTCCCGTATTTGCCTTCCAATTGTTTTTTATATGAACCCGACCGTCTTTAATTGATCATTGAATCTATCGTGAGTAATATTTAGGAGGGCGAGGAGGAGGAGGTTGGATTTTATACAAGATCAATTCTTATTACTCTTTATTTGATAGCCATCCACGTAAAATTAAATTTGAAAGTTAAGGGTGCGGACGCTTTGAAAAAGGGCACATTGAATGTTGTGGTAAGGCAAAAATCTACCACAATGATAGGGTTCACCTTCCGAATTCCAATGTTCCATTTTTGGTGTTTTCATAAGTTGATGAGAACGCGTTTTCACATAATTATAATAAATGAAAAGAATTGTGGAAATATTTGCCAAGAAGTCTCTAGTTGTTGCTCTTGTGGGACACGTCAACGCATGCCTGCACGCCATGATTGGGGGGTGCGACCGTACAACCAGTGACCAATCATTAACCTCTGTTTGTGCTACCGTACAAACAGTGATCAATCATTAACCTCTGTTTGTTTCCGTAAAAACAGTGACCAATCATTAACCTCTGTTTGTTTAACCTAATCTGCCATCCTGATCATGATTAAGTGTAAACTATTCTCACAAGATACTCACTGAATAAGCGTGCTCCGTGCTACACGTCTGTTTCCTTGATAGCTGGGCTATAGCTTAGCTGGTTCTGGGAGTCTAGCTAGATGTTGGAAAATCTGCCATAGAGATTTCTGAGTCAGTCAGGCTTTACTAGCGTAGCAATCCGCTACACTCTTAGTCTAATAAGATTTCTTTTATTGGATTGTGCAACATATTTGATTTTTGTAAAATCGAATTATTTTATTGGAGTGTGTGTGCGCGTGTTTGAATAAGATCGTCATTCCAGTGAGATTTGACTTTTTTTGTACCATTTTAAATATATTGCCCAGTAATGCATGTGTTGACGCATCAGTCTTTTGTTTCCAAAATTATTGGCAATTTCTCTAATTTTAACAAATACTGTTCCCTAATTTA